AAGAAACACATAATGTAGAGGGGGAAAGAAAAGAAAGTGGAAAGGTAAAAAAAAAAAGCCCAAGAAAGACTGAGGAATTGTTTCAAATCAAAGGAGACTAAAGAGACATAACAACTAAATGGAAAACATTACAGTAGATTGGATCCTAGACCTAAAAAGAATACAGGCAGTTCCTGGGTTAGGAATGACCCGATTTACTTACTGACAACTCCTACTTGCCCTTTAAGCAGGGACTCAAATTGAGTTGAACCTGTTCTGTCATGGCCAATGAAGCAGAAACAGGAGCAGACCTGAACTTTTACAATTTGGGTGAATCATCACTGTAACTGGAAAGGGAAAAATTACAGATGGAGGCTCTGGAATAGGAGACTCAGAAGAGACATACTAGCCCTTTCAGGAGGCTGATGCTTAAGATTAGATTATTGGCAGGACCGTGGAGAACCACACACATTCAAAGCATCATGGCTGCCATCTCTGACCAGGGCATCACCATCTTTGAATGGTGCAACACTGTTTTTGTTTAAAATGTTTTAAGTTTATGTAAATTTGCCCTGTGTTACAGTATTGAGACAACTGGCACACTTTGAATGGGGTCTGTGGATTAGATGGCAAATAGTATATCAATGTTAATTTCCTAACTTGTGTTGGTTGTTATGGTTATGTGTGAGAATGTTCTAGCTTTAGGAAATATACACTGATGTACTAACGGGTAATGAGACATCATATTTGCAACTTAATCTCAAATACTGTAACTTCTCAAATGTGCTAAACTGTTAACTAAGAGATCTGGGCAAAGGTATGCAGGGGTTCTTCGTAATACTCTTACAGCTTTTCTGTAAATTTGAAAATATTTCAATATGAAACTTTTTTTTTGTAATTTTTAAAAAAGGTCTTCCCAGTGTGTTGTTATGTTGCTGAGATTAAAGTAAAAGTACCAACAACAAACTGGGAAGGACCATTATTTTTTGCTAAATACAAGTCTTTAAAAATAGTCAAATTTATCACACTTTCCCCTTTGGGATGATGTGTCCTGCTTGGAATAGTGATCTGAAAAAGTATCTGTGTCAACAGCTAATCAAAGACATAAAGTTAGATCCCACCTCTGCGAGAGAAAGACCCTAGAGAACTAAGAAAGAATTTTCAAACTTTCTCTAGAGGTTGGAGATGGAAACAGCATGCTCTGTAGCTTTTACTGCTCACTGGGCATCTTTCTGGCCAACGCCTAAAACTGAACAGAGCTAAAACCCACCTAATCTTTTCTCAAAAACTGGTCACGTCTCTGCACTTTCCTATTTCTGACAGTCTTTCAGTTATCCCCATCACCTGTCTGACAGTATGTCATCCTGTGGTGGCTTACGTCTTGCTATGATGTTAGAAGTTATGCCATTGGTATTTCAAATACTATCAGGTCAACCATGGTGGACAGGTTTCAGCAGAGCTCCCAGACTAACACAGTCTAAGAAGAAAGGCCTGGATCTTCTTCTGAAAATTAACCAATGAAAACCTATGGCTCACAGCAGAATGTTCTCTATTATGGTACTGGAAGATGAGCCCCCTATGTGGGAAGGCAGTAGTGGCAGCAATGGACTTGAGTGTACCAACAATCATGAGATGGTTCAGGACTGGGTAATATTTTGTTCTGTCACACGTAAGATTACCATGAGTCAGAGCTGACTCAATGACAACAAACAACAATAACAACTCAGGTAGCCAAACTCAGCAGTCATTCTTGCATCCTTCTCTCCTTCCTCCCACATTAACCAGGAACTGATATTCTTTACTTTTTCTTCATATTGTCTTTATCCTAGATGCTTACCCTCCACATCTGAATTGTTGCTGTAGCCACTTCCGTTTATCTCCTGAGTGCTACTCTGCAATGACCTAATCCTGAGGAAAAGTTCTCATGGATGCCCCCATGTATTCATTGTCTTAAATTGTTTATTATATTGTTACTTAACAACAACAACAACAACAAAAATCATTGCTGTTGAGTCGGATCCAACTCATAGCGACCTCTCCTTGGGTTTCTGAGGCAGTATTTCTACAGAAGTAGACTGCCCTGTCCTCCTTCCGGGAGTAGCTGGTGGGTTTGAACCAACTAGCCTTCTGGTTAGCAGTCAAATGCCTTAGGCACCATGCCACCAGAGCTCCCAGTATTACTTAAAGTATGTAGAAACATAAAACTAGATATCAACTCCTTATCTTCTCCTTCAACTCTAAAACCAAAACAAATTTACAAAGAAATACCAACAAAATCACAAAACATATGAAATTCAAATCAACATTTAGCTCTAGATGTCATTCTGTTGACTGCACTGTCACTCACACTATAGTTATGGTGCCAATGGTTTTCTGGAATTCCACGCACCTGTGCTATAGGGTGGGAGCTCTGGTTGTGTGGTATCTAAGGCATTTGACTGCTAACCAGAAGGATGGCAGTTCAAACCCACCAGCCACTCCATGGAAGGAAGACTGAGTGATCTACTTATGTAGAGATAGTGTCTTAGAAACCCATGGAGGGGTCACTATGAGTCGGATCTGACTCGACAGCAGTGAGTTTGGTTTTTTTGGTACTATAGGGTTACTGTGAATTAGAATCAAATCAATTCGACAGCAGTTTGGGTTTGGTATACTATTATTTGCACTGATGGCCAATTTTCCCACCATTTGTGCTGTTGGAATTGTCACAAAACCTTGGTTTAATATAGCTGGTTATGAGGAAATTATTTTCCACTTTCACATAGGTGCATCTTTTGTGTATTAATTCTTCTTCTGTTCTTTTCTCATCAGCCTGTGAAAATCAAATACTTGGTTCCATAAACAGATATATATATATATATAGGCAAAGAAACTATAAAATCATACAGGAATACACAGCTATAAATGGTCACCTAAATAAATCTGAACTTTCTTAGGTTAAAATTTTAAACACTGTTTTCAGCTGAAAGACAAAAATTTTTAAATGCTTGTAGAGAACTCATGGACTTCAAAAGAATATTTCTACAGACCCCTTTCCCCACAGTTCACACTGCTCTAATCCATTCTTGACCCTAGGCCCCAATCCTGGGATCCTAAGAGTGACCTTACTCTGACTTCTCGCTTCACTTCACTGTTACCTTCTTGCTACATCTCACTGTTATCTCCCAACACTCCTCAACACCAGCCTTCAGCTCTAGCTAACCGGTGCTCACCAGACTCAACCCATTCTCACCTCTTTGCCTTGTCTGATGCCTTTTGCCATCTGAAATACATACATCTTTTATTTCTAAATTTTCCCATTTTGGCTGGAGTTCCTAGGTGGTGCAAGTTGTTAACGTGCTTGGTTGCCAATAGAAAGGTTGGCAGTTCAAGTCTACTCAGAAGAAAGTCCTGGCAATCCATTTCTGAAAAATTAGCCTTTGGAATCTGTGTGGAGCCCAGTTCTACTCTGAAACACTTGGGGTCACCATGAGTCAGAGTTGTTTTTTATTTTCTCCTTCCATTTGGTTAAGTCCTTCCTCCTCCTCACAATGGGGTGGTCCCCAGCTGACAGGCTTCTCCCCAGCAAAGGATGTCAGTACATCCCATTTAGTATTAGCCACACATTCCACAGGAGCTTGGCTAGCATAGTGCCTAAGGCACTTGACTGCTAACCAGAAGGCTGATGGTTCAAACCTACCAACCACTCCTCAGAAGGAAGATTGGGCAATCTACTTCCATAGTGATACCGCCTCAAAAACCCAAGGAGGGGTCGCTGAGTCAGGTCTGACTCGACAGCACATAACAACAACACACATTGCACATTGCTTTATTGATTATTCTCCCATTCACTCAACAAACATTTATTGAGCATGTGCCAGATAAACAACCTTGTGCTATACTCCTGAATCAAATGCTGTGTTTTCTGCTTCCCTTTATACACAATGTACATTTAACATAAACTTATCACTGTGGCTTGGATGACATCATGCAGGTCTGTATTGTCATATTCCATATATGACGTATGATAGCAAAATTTAAGCTACTGAAATTAAGAATAGTGTAATAATCTTAGGACTTGCCTATAGTAGCAGGATGTTCTTATTGGTGGTGGCAGGGTTTTTATTTTATTTTATTTTTTTGTATCAATCTTTAAAAAGCAGCTGTCAATACAAGAAAGATTTCAGGGCCAAGTTCAAAGCAGATTATATAATAGAAGATCCTGCCCTAGATATTGGAAGTTTCCATGATGGATGCAATGTTATTCAGTCATGAATGCTTATGATCATCAAGAACACATCCTGTTGTATGTTTTGTTATATATAATCTCACCAAAATAAATAAAATTTAGGAAAAAAAACCCTACACACTGTTTAAGACAAGAGCCAAGGAGGGAAACTAGAATACGGGAAATGGAACAACAAGAATGCAATTAATGAGAATGTTGACACATTTTGAAAAGTGAAACTAATGTCACTGAACAACTAATGTAGAAATTGTCAATGGAAAGCTAATTTGCTGTGAAAACTTTCACTGAAAAGACAATAAAATATTGTTAAACAAACAAAAAAGGAACACACACTTTTAAAAAGTCCATGTCACCTAGATTATGATTTATCTAGCAGACATCTACACGAACACAAATAATTTATTCACATGTTTGCACAGTGTTTGAGTAGACAAAGTTTTAAGGATACTTAATAGCCTTTGAAAACTGTATGGAGCCCAGTTCTACTTTGAGACACATGGGGTTGCCATGAGTTGGAGATTTTTTTTCTCCTTGCTATGTGAACACTTTTTCAAATTCAGATTTGAGCATTTTTCTTTCTTTTCTTTTCTTTTTTTCAAATCAAATCCACATTCTGAGTTATTTTACTTAGAGAATTTTGCACGTAGCCCACTTCTTTCTGCACAAAAGTAAAAAAATTACCTGTATTGACTTAGTTCCTCATTATTTGGCTGTTTCAACATGATTTTCTACCCCCAGTCATTTCACTGTTGGTCCAAGGCTACCTTGATTTCACTTTAGCCTTTTCTGAACTTCATTTTCTTTCTTTATGTTCTCGAGTGTAGCTTTGAGGTCTAGGGTCATCCTTCCCAAGATCCACAACAATTACCTCCCTAGAAAACGTCACTCCTTTCAAAGCTCTCTTTTGGTTTTCAACAGTTTTTGTCAAATCCTCACCCTGCAAGAGAACGGGACAAACAATATAAATCATCAATTTAGGGATGCAGCGAGCCCTGATTTTAAAAATATAGGTTATCCACACATTGTTAGTGATAAACAGAAAAAGTATATCTAGGGATAGAGGAAAGCAGTGATAACCCATCAAATCACGTTTTTATAATTCTGTGTTTGAAAACCAACACTGTCTGTCAGTTTGTCCTGCTGTGCTGGTTTGCAAGTTGCTGTGAAGCTGAAGGCTGTAGCGCTGGTGTTTCAAACCCCAGCAGGATCACCCAGGGTGGAGAGGTCTCAGTGGAGCTTCCAGACTAAGACAGACTGGGAAGAAGGATGGGGATATCGGCTTCCGGAAAAAAAATTGGCAAGTGAAAACCTTAGGAATACCAGTGAAACACCTTTGCTATGTTACTGGAAATATCAAAATATATTTTATATATTACTGGAAAACCTTATGAATAGCAGTGAAATATTGTCTGATATAGTGCTGGAAGATGAGCTCCTCAGATTAGAAGGCACTCAAAATACGATCGGGAAAGAGCTGCCTCCTCAAAGTAGAGTCAACCTTAATGACATGGATGGAGCAAAGTTTTCAGGATCTTCATTTGATGATGGGGCATGACTCAAAATGGGAAGAAACAGCTGAAAATATTCATTAATAATTAGAATGTGGCATGTACTAGGTATGAATCTAGGAAAATTGGAAATTGTAAAAAATGAAATGTAACCCATAAATATTGATATCCTTTGCATTAATAAGCTAAAATGGACTGGTATTGGCTATTTTGAATCAAAAAATCATATGCTCTACTATGCAAGGAATGACAAATTGAGTAGGAATGGTGTCACATTCATCATCAAAAAGAACATTTCAAAATCTATCCTGAAGTATGAAGCTGTCAGTGATAGGATAGTATCCATACAGCCTACAAAGAAAACCAATTGTTACTTCTAGTATTATTCAAATTTATGCACCAACTGCTAAACCAAAGATGAAGAAATTGAAGGTGTTTACCAACTTCTGGAGTCTGAAATGGACAAAACATGCCATCAAAATGTATTGATAATTACTGGTGTTTGGAAAGCTTGAGTTGGAAACAAAGAAGAAGCATTAGTAGTTGGAAAATATGGCCTTGGTGACAGAAATGATGCTGGAGATCACATGATAGAATTTCACAAGACCAATGACTTATGCATTGCAGATACTTTTCAACAACATAAATTGGTGGAGTACCCTTTGAGATGTTTCAACAAATGGATGCAGCACTGTAGGTGCTTACTCATTTATACCAAGAAATCTGGAAGACAGTTACCTGGCTAACTTACTGGAAGAGATCAATATTTGTGCCCATTCCAAAGAAAAGTGATCCAACAGAACATGGAAATTATCAAACAATATCACACACAAGCAAAATATTGCTTAAGATAATCCAAAAGTGGATGCAGCATTATATTGACAAGGAACTTCCAGAAATGCAACCTGAATTCAGAAGAGGATGTGAAACAAGGGATATCATTGCTGATGTCAGATGGATCTTGGCTGAAAGCAAAGAATACTAGAAAGATACTTACCTGTGTTTTGTTGACTATGCAAAGACATTTGAATGTGTGGATCATAAGAAATTATGGATAGCATTGTGAAGAATAGGAATTCCAGAACACTTAATTGTGCTCATGAGGAACCTATACATAGACCAAGAGGCTGTTGTTGGAACAGAACAAGGGAATACTGCTTGGTTTGAAATCAGGAAAGGTGTCTGTCAAGGTTGTATCCTTTCACCATACTTATTCAATCTATATGCTGAACAAATAATCCAAGAAACAGGACTATATGAAGAAGAACACAGCACCAGAATTGAAGGAAGACTCATTAACAACTTGCAATATGCAGATGACACAACCTTGCTTGCTGTAAATGAAGAGGACTTGAAACACTTGCTGATGAAGATTGAAGACCACAGTCTTCAGTATGATTACACCTTAACATAAGAAAAAAAATCTTCACAACTGGACCGATAAGAAATATCATGATAAATGGAGAAAAGATTGAGGTTGTCAAGAATTTCATTGTATTTGGATCCACAATCAACAGACATGGAAGCAGCAGTGAAGAAGTCAGACATTGTATTGCACTCGGCAAATCTGTTGCAAAAGACCTCTTAAATGTGTTAAGGAGCAAATATGTCACTAAGGTGCACTTAACCCAAGTCATGGTACTTTCAGTTGCCTCATATGCATGTGAAAGCTGGACAATGAATAAGGAAGATTGAAGAAGAGTCAATGCCTTTGAATTGTGGTCTTGGTGAAAAATACTGAAAATACCATGGACAGCCAGTGGAATGAACAAATCTGTCCTAGAATAAGTGCTCCTTAGAAGTAAAAATGGCCAGACTTCCTTTTACATACTTTGGTCATGTAGTCAGAAGGGAACGGTCGCTAGAGAAGGATATTGTGCTTGGTAAAGCAGACAGTTAGTGAAAAGGGGGAAGACCATCCACAAAATGGATTGACACTGGCTGCAACGATGGGCTCAAACATAGCAAGGAATGTGAGAATGGTGCAGGACTGGGCAGTGCTTTGTTCTGTTGTACGTAGGGTTGCTATGAGTTGGTGCAAACTCAACAGCACCTAACAACTTGGTTGAAAAGTGGCTGCAACAATGGGCTCAAGCATAGCAATGATTATGAGCTTGGCACAGACTGGGCAGTTCTGTTGTATATAAGGTTGCTATGAGAGGAGCTGACTGTACAGCACTTAATAACAACATGATTGTAAAAGCACACATGGACATATTCAAATAACTTTGGTGAAGTGAGTTATTATCTCTATGAAGTGATCGTTATAGAAAGACACATTGGGCAAATTTAAGAACCATCTGGACAATCATTCTGTCACAAATAGGGCATTGGGACAGGGCATGGGGCATATGGTGGGAGGGCATATGAATTGCTCTTATTAGGGAGTGCCACCCATGAGATCAAAAAGACTTTGACAATCCATGTCTTGATGGATGTCTTTGTGCTGTTGTCAAAGGAGCTTGAACTAGAACAGGAGCATAGGGTCTGGTCACGAGCCTGGCCACAGGGGAGGCATGGCCATGACCGATCATCTCATTTTCTCATTTGTAACAAGAGAGAGTTTGATTTCTAGATGCTCTCCAAGGCCTTTTCTAGCTTGAAGATACTAAGATGCTGAGCAGAGGAAACTGAAGGGGATTTATGAAGAAAACACAAATGTAAGAATGAAGAATGACCAAGTTTCTAGGCTGAGCAGATAGACTACAAAGAATGGTTTAAATGTTTGTGAGCATTAGATTGGTTCCTGGTACAAACCTAAATCACAGGAAACACCGTTCCTTATTATTACACCAGCAGTAATTCACCTTCTTTTCAGTCAAACACAGCTAAGCCTAAGCTGCCCCTTGAGAGTAGAAAAGACTGCCGTCACCTCTTGGCCAGATTCCCTAGCATTCTCATGATTTCGGTTCTGTACAGTTTTTCTCTCCTCCATGGCCTCCTTGTTATCTAAGGGTGTGTCCATCACTTCCTTAGCCGGTCTCTGGACAAGAATGCCAGGCCTCACCGGTGTATCCATGTCTATGATTTGCATGAGCATAGTCCTGGAAAAGAAATCATCAGGTTTTTAAACAGTCCATGCGTCCTAGTACCATTATCATATAAAAGTGTCTTTCTCCCACATCCTAAGAGACAGACTTACTTTCCTGGTTCTGTTGAATTGTTCATCTCTGCACTTGCAGCAAAACAACCTTCACCTCTGTTACCATCTATACAAGGCATGTGTTCTGTTTCTTCATCATTCTTGCTCTGGAGACTGGAAACAAACAAACAAAATGCAGAAAAGACAGAATAGCTCTGCTTTTAGGGACTGACATGGGAGCTTCAGTTTTAACCAAGAAACTAACATTTCTAAAGCCCTGGAATAGAAAAAGTAGATAGCTACAGCATTATTTGTTTTGCTAGTTTTAATAGTTTTGTATTATTTCTAGATATATTTGCTAGTGTGACTTGAAATCCAATCCCAATTTCTCAGCATGGATTTTTACCATTTGTACAAAAAAACTGCCAATAAAAGCAAGATGAAAACGAGGCAACCTTGAAGAATGATGAAGAAAGTGAGTGCTATGGTTTCAAAGCTCATAGGGTTGGCGAGAAGACTCGTCTACTCTCACAATCACAGCTTGTCCAAATACTCTCTTCCAGCTCAGTTTGAATATAGTTCTCTTGTTCTTTGCGTTTTCTGGAAACAGAAGAATAAGAGGCTATTTTTGTTGTTCTTTTGATCGGTTCCGTTTCATAAAAGAGGCTGTGCTAGTTTCGGTGGTGCTGACTCACAGTGGCTAATTCCTCTCCATACATGTGGTGGGGCTGAGGTGGCCAGAGGGGAGACTGAGCTGGGTTACATGCGATCACTCAGCTCACCTCCCCTCACCCCCAAAACCGTCAGAATCCAAGCACAGAGGGATTGGAGCAGCTAGAGCTGAGTAGGCTCCCCATTCTTCTCTCTTCAGTGACATCATAGAATCATGAACCCAGGGAGTTGGAGGCACTGCACAAGAGCACCAGCCCAGCCCATCATCTGGAGGAAGGAAAACTGTTGAACTGTCCTCTGGGCTATTGCCTGCCCTGTCTTCTCCTCCCAGAGTTTAGGGATGGAGGCCACATGCACAGTCTCTGCCCATTCTTTGGACAAAAATTTTCTTCCTTCTCTCTGAACACCATCTTTCCTATCTTGACCTGAGCCTACTTCTCTTCTTGCTTCTTTCAAATACCGTGAACAATTGATTCACTTCTTTCCTGTAAAATCTCTTTCTAGTCCTAAGGTTGGAGTCCTTGGATGGTACAAATGGTTAACACACTCAGCTGCTAATAAACATTGGCAGTTCCAATGCACTCTCATGCCCCTCAGAAAAAAGGCCTGCTGATCTTTAAAAAATCAGCCATTGAAAACTCTTTGAGCAGAGTTCTACTCTGACACACATGGGTCACCAGGAGTTGGAGTTGACTCAATGGCAGCTGGTTAGCCCTGAGGTCAGTGATCAACTTCCCTCCTAATGTTGTCCTCTCCAGACTAAATAGCTCCTGTCCTTCTAACTCTGCCTCAGCAGGTCTACTTCCTGGACACACAGAAAACTGACAGCTCTAAAGACCATAACTGAAGAAGCAAGATAACAGAGTGAAGATGACTCCTACTCCAACCTAACCTTAGGTAAGAGTGAGTAAAGCCCTTGATAAGGAAAGGGTCTGAACTGGGCAGAGTGGTGGCAGGAAGGGAGCTAGGGTTTTCTGAGAAGAAAAGGAGGGTACAAGACAGTACAGCAGCTGCTGGCAGCCACATCTGAAGGAGTCAGAGGGTGAACTCTGGGCATCTTTGGACTTAAGGGACATTGGGTCTGTTCTAGAAGGCTGGGACTGTGCCTTCTTTATCTTTGGATGCTACTACAAGCAAGCCTGCTCATTCCACAAATACTGAATAAATGTGTGTGTGTGTGTGTGTGTGTGTATAAGCACAGTTTGTTGGAGGGATCAGGCCAAAACTGATTATTTATTTATATGTATTTTTTACTGTGATTTGGGTGGAAGTTTACAGAGTGAATTCACTTTCCATACAGCAGCTCACGTACACTTTGTCTCATGACATTGACTGCAATTTACCACAATGCAACAGCTCCCCTCCCACTTCCTTCCCATAGTTACCTCTTCCCTGTGTCCTTTCCTCCCATGCACTCTTGCCCCCTGAGCTGTCTCCCTGTGCATACACAGCCCTTCTATTCTCCCATGATTGATCTCTCCAAAGAATATATCTATCTAATGTAAGCATTCAGCTCATATGCCTGTCTTTTGTTTGGCTGGAAGCCACAGGAGTCGGTTCATTCCAGACCTGAAGGACAGCTAGAGGCCATAGTCTCAGTGGTTCCATCAGGCTCTATCAGACCAGCAAACCTGTTTTCTTTTTTTTTTTTTAATGATTTTGAATTTTGTTCCACAATATTCTCCTACTCTATCCAGGATCTCCTACAGAGATCCCCCTCCAAGTGGTTGACAGAAGTAGCTGGGCACCATCTAGTTCTTCTCGTCTCATAGTCATATAGGCTGAGGATCACATGGTGTACTAGTCACTTGGACTAATTGTCCAAAACAGATTTTGCAGAATATGTGGATATCTAAGGAGTCATGTTGTTTTTGTTAGGTGCCATCAAGTTGATTCCGATTCATAGTGACCCATGTACAACAGAAAGAAGCACTGCCCTGTCCTGGGCATCCTCACAATCCTTGCTATGCTTGAGATCGTAGTTGCAGCTCCTGTGTCAATCCATCTTGTTGAGGGTCTTCTCCTTTTCTTCTGACCCTCCACTTTAGCAAGCATGATAACCTTCTCTAGGGACTAGTCCCTTCTGACAACACGAGCACAGTAGGTGAGATGAAGTGTGGCCCTCAGTGCTTCTAAGGAGTATTCCTGGTGCACTGCTTCCAGGACAGATTAGTTCGTTCTTCTGGCAGTCCACAGTATTTTCAATATTCTTTGCCAGCACCACAATTCAAAGGCATCGATTCTTCTTCAGTCTTCCTTATTCATTGTCCAGTTTTCACATGCATATGAGGACCATGGTTTGGGTTAGGTGCACCTTAGTCTTCAAAGTGACATCTGTGCTCTCCAGTACTTTAAAGAGGTCTTTTGCAGCAGACTTGCCAGAGTCATACTTCATACATTCCACCTTCCGATTATTAACGAATGTTTGCAGCCGTTTCTTCCCATTTTGAGTAGTGCCTCATCAGCAAATGAAGGTCATGAAGGCTTGACTCCATCCACCTCATTAAGATCAACTCTACTTTGAGGAGGCAACTCTTCCCCAGTTGTATTTTGAGTGCCTTCCAACCTGAGGGGCTCATCTTCCAGCTCTATAACAGATGGTGTTTCATGGCTCTTCATAAAGGAAACTCTGGGTGGCACAAATGCTTAAACATTACACGACTAACCAAAAGATTAGTGGTTTAAACCCACTCAGAGGTACATCAGAAGAAAAGTTCAGATAATCTGTCTCCAAAAGGTCACAGCCATCAAAAACCCTGTGGAGCAGTTCTGATCTGCACACATGGGGTGGTATGAATTGGAATCAACTTGAAGGCAACTGGTTTGGTTTTGGTTCAGAGGGTGTCTGAGTCACTTGTTTGGTCGTATTATCCAGTTGGGCTTATAGATAAAGATTCAGAGCCTCCTTACTCTGCACTGCTGTCAGACTCAGACTTTAAAAGTCAGAATCTGCTCACATCTCTCCTCTGCCTCACTCTCTACAATGGCTTCTTGGCTCCCTTGGGATCAAGCCTGGACTTGTAGCTTGGCCCCCAGGCCCTGCAGTGTGATGCCTACCTCTGTTTCTGGTATATACCTGCTCTCAAATGCCCCATGCAGCGTCACACCTCATGGCCTTTGCACATGCTCTTCCAGTTGCACACAGGGCCTTCTCCACCTGGAACAATCCTATTCATCTTTCAGGATCAGCTCAAAAGTCAGTCCCCTCCTCTGTGGTGTTTCCTTTGACAATCTGCACCCCTTCTCTGCTTAGCAGAATTAGACATGCTGACTGCAGAGGCCACCATAGCCTCTGGTCTCAAGCACCCCTCCTTGACAATTCTTCCTCCCAACCCCAGGTCTCAGCACCAGCCCATCCCTCAGGGAAACAAAGCCATTGCAGCCATCTTCCTAAATGCTGCCAGCCCTCCAAGCTGGCTGCTCCTCCTGCTGCATCTGGAATCTCCCTGAGTGGTCTGTGGACTCCTCCAGGCTGGGAAGAGGGGCTGTAGGTCCAGGGGTCTCTGTTTGCTGGGCCACTGTGGCACCACCCATTCCAGGGAAGAGGAGAGCTTTTATCTGACCCCTCTCCCTCAGTATGAGGAGGACTTTCTCCTCCTCTGTGCTGTTTGGCTGAAGTTCCCCTCATGTCATAACACCTTCCCCGCTACATCATGACTTATAACACAACTCTGTTGGGTCTGAATCCATGAGGCTTACCTCTTGAGAAAGTGATTAGAATTTAGAGAAGCAGCCATTTCTTCTAACCAAGCCTGGCTTTCATTCTTGCGGAGGACTCAAAAACCCCATTGTGGATATCAAAAGCTGACCTTTGACCTTTTCTGATTTTTCTGATAATTCTCTCAGAAGCAAATGTGTGTCTCTGACAGAACAGGGAAAGGCCATGTTCAAAAAAGCACAAGAGAGGCATGTTAGCATGTTTTTAAAAGGTTACCTGTTACGTTTGTTTTTGGCAGCTTTGTCACACTGATGGAGGACATACATTTAAGGTGTTTGGGGATGTAACATGTATCCTGCTCAATTTTTGACTTGTTGGATCGGGCCCTTTTCTCTGTCTGAAGAGATGTGTTTAGACCCCAATTCTGCTTCTGATATGGCTGCTCCCAATCCCTGCTGGTTGATATTGACAAATGGGAGTGGCACATCTCTTCTAGGTCACCCGCCTGCCCCTGAAAACAGTGTCAACTGGGACAGAGCTTTCAGCAGAGACACTCCCGTTGTTAGCAGTGAGATATTTAACTGTTGGCACCATCGAGGGATTCCCAAAGTACTTTATATCTTCCTCAGGTAGAGCTTACACAATTATATACACATGGAAAAGCCCATCAAACTGTGTACTTAAGATGAGTACACTTTATGCCCTCTAAACCAAACAAAACCCACTGCCCTCGAGTTGATTCTGACTCATAGTGACACCATAGGGCAGTAGAACTGCCCCAGAGGGTTTCCAAGGCTGTAAATCTTTATGAAGCAGACTACCTTATCTTTCTCACTTGGAGTAACTGATGGGTTCAAACCACTGACCTTTTGGTTAGCAGCCTGATACTTTAACTACTACACCACCAGAGCTCTTTGTTATACCCTCTATTGTGTGGATATTAACTACAATAAAACAGAAAAAAGACTCATCACCTGCATGAATTTGAGTATGTGTGAGGGGAAGAGTATTGCTGAACAACTGTGCACTGCATGGGTGGACCTGTCTCAAAGACTTTAGGCACACTACCTAGATGGTGACCTTTCATAAAGGCACAAGCAGCAGCCATAGTGAAAGCTTGTAAGATTTGTCATAAGGACTTTCATCTAATGTGGCTATGGGATTGTTGAAG